ACAATTGTGTTAGTGTCTGTTTGGAAATATTTTGAATAAAACTCTGAATTAAAAAATAGATCATAGAAGGCCATATAGTCTGGTAGAATTTTAAATGTAACTCAGAAAAGAAAGAGAAGGAAAATAGTAAGTGGTTAAGCAATCCATACATAATGTGATGAAAGCGTGAAGAAGGTAAGAGGATGAAAAACACAAAATTTATGACAATGGCAGTTGTGTGTGGGGGCAGATGGATCATGCAGGAGTATTTACTGACAGTGTCATCTCTGTCATTAATATTTTATTTCTTGGATTGCATCATAAGTTTGCAGGTTTAGCAGTGGTTGATGGGAAAATTTCCAGAATTACTAAAATCATCTCTGGAAACTAGTTTGCTTGGCCTGATCATAAATCAAAATTTATTTATCTCTAGCACTCCACAAAGGATATTATGGAAACATCTGTGACCATATGTTCAGGGGAAAGACAACGTCCCAGGTGACTTCCACGTGAATCAATTTGCTTTTACATCAATTCTGTTTTCAATAATATTTGTTTACCATTTTAATACTAGTAAATTCTTTATGAGAAATTCGAAAGCCCATATATCTGAGACAAAACCTTTGGGTAACTGTCATTTGAATTGACCGCCTTAGAGATGAGTTAACTTCTATTGGCATTATTGCACAAGTTTTGGTGATATATCACTAACTGTGACTCCTCTTAGAGTAGATTGTAAGGCAGAGAATTTCTCTCTTTTTCTTCTTTGTTTTGTTTTTGCTTCCTTCCTATTTTTAAATGCTGTGTGGCTTGCGGCCTTGGCTTTCTTTGCTTTGAAGTTTGTACCAAATCAATTGGGCTTATTGCCCAGATAGAGATTAGAATTGAAAGGTGAGTAGATAAATTATACTAAGTTTTGATCTAAGGGCCTTTTCAGGGACTAGCTGCCCATAAAAGGTCAGATTTGTGAGTTTTCAACAGGAAGTATCCTGAACTTGAAGAAAGAAATACAGATTTCCTGAGCTCAAATACAAACTCCAAATATCAGATGCTTAAGACCTGCTGTGGTCTGTTAGCTTATCTGAATCTCCTTTTCCTTTGTAAAACGGAGAGTAAAATTGATCAGCATTTTTTCCTTGTGGCTTAGTGAAGTAAATATGAGGTTTTGTAAATAGCAGTTGCCACGCTAATGCATAATTTACTGTTATCCTCAATTTTTTCTACTTCTCATCACACCTATGTACCTCATCCCTCCCAAAGTCCTGCTCATTTGACTCCCCAAGTACCTCACAAATGTGTCTGTTTGTCCTTGTTATCAACAAGCTAGTCAAAGCAACTGTTTTCTTCCCTATAGTTTGTGGCTACACCTTCCTATAGCTGTTCATACTTCTCTGTTATGTGATCAATTTTCCCAGCTGGAGACAGATAGCTTTAAAAGATCTGGAGGCAGTCTTTCAAAAATGCAAATCTGGTTATAGCACTCTTTTGCTTAAACTCCTTCACTAGCATCATGTTATTATCAATAAGGACTGAAATCTGAAGTGAGCTTAAAAACTACACATTATTCGCCTCAGTTTGCTACTCCTGTTTTATCTCACCCTGTATTGCCTCTCACTTTTTGCATTATTCTAGCGCTAACAGAAAGGAAATTCTTCTAAATCTACTTCCTTGGGTAGTACAGATTTCAATACAGTAACCACATTCAATAAATCAAAACCTCTCATTCAAGAAAATGAGATTCAAAAATAAAATAAAATACAGGAAAAAAAGGTGAGGTGATAAATACTGGGAAAACCAATGGGTCTCTGCCTGATTTTTAAAATTTGTTTTTTATTTTCTTGAATTCAAAACTGTTTTGAAGATAATTCTTAACATACTAGCTTTAGGGAAGTGTTTGAGAGGGAAGTGGAAGGCACTTGGATTGATGGGCCTGGGAAACCTTCATAAGCTCACAAATATTGACAGAATGACATTTTACTCTTCCGAGTAGTACTTACTTCTAGGTAATGGGTAGGGAAATTTAGTATGTTGCCTGTCTTTTCTAAAACATTTCTTATGCTTTGACATGTTGAGTTGGATTGATTCACCTGTGTAATTGACAAGTATAATTTGGTCTTAGTGTAATTGGTCTTTCCCTGGAGTGCTTATCTGACAACAGATCAATTATTGGGTTGGTCCTGCCTTCTACCCACACATAGATCAGAATGTATGTAAATTTTTCTAGAAATGAACTTATTAACCATATTAATCTGTAAGGATGCATGCGAAACCCAAGCACAGTTACCCACCCTTCTGTGTGTGTGTACACACATCCACAAATGCACATTTCTGCCTCAGGCTACACATGTTAGCACATACAGAATTGGGTGTTCATTCATTGAATTGTTTCTGTTAATGATAATTTTATTTCCTACATGTTCACTAGTATTTTTAAGGTGCAAATGTAAACTAAGCAAGAAAGATTGTTATGATTGGTTTTCTTAACAGCCAGCCAATCAGAAAAATGTCAATTTTCTTTTACTCAAAGCAGATACTCTTTAGGGGCTGGGGACATAGCTCAGTCCTGCCTGTCAGGTGCCTGGCAAGTCCTGACATGTCACTGTGCCTGCCCGGCAAGTGTGAGGTCGTGAGTTCGATTCCCGGTATCCCCCCCTCAAAAAAAAGCAGGTGCTCTCCTCAAAATAAAAATTAGTCTCTTTCCCACTAATCTCTCAGCTCCAATTCGTCTCTCTCTCCAATTACTATCTGAGTTAACATCCTATGAAACAAATCACCCTCTTGTTTGTGGATCTTCTTAGGTCCACATTACTGAGGGGAAAAAAGGCCAAATTCATTTTCCTTTCTATTCTCCCCCAACTTAGCATCCCGCCATTCTTCTCTCACACGCCTGAAGTGTCAGTCACAGCGAGCTTCCCAGCGTTTTCCACACACAAATGCATCCTGTCACAACTTGGGGATTTTCACATTCTACTTTCTGTTCCAGGGACGCCCTCATCTTCCTTTGTATCTACAAAAATGCTATTTATCCTGGAAGGTCCAGCTAAATGTCACTTCTCACTTTCAACATTCTCTTGATTTCTTTAAGCCGAGCAAGTTAATTCTCTTCTTCTGGAGCACTGAGTCACACTGCGGGTAAACCAGTAACTGATCTAAGTTCTTATCAGTTGCTCACATTTTCCCCTATTGTTATATTCTTTGAGCTAAGGACCCTGTATTAGGATTCATTGGAATTGTTATAACAAGAACAAATAGATAAGTAGATAAAACAATACGACAGGTACAGCAAAGCAGGTTTTCTACCATCCATCAGATCATATGTAGTTCACTATGCGTTTGTCAACTCTACAATATCTATCAGGGCATAAATATTTTCATTTTTCACTACTCTGGCCTCCAAATACAGCTGCCGCCCAGGCCTTTTATGGGAGTTACTCTAGTTTCTGCCATTTCTAGAACAGGCCAATCTGAAGTATGGATATTTTTATTATTAAAGTTGCATAATTCCATCACATTATAATTAGTCTTTATTTTCTCTCCTTTCCAGACAATGAGAGAAAAAGAAACGAGATGAGGAGAACGTGGGAGACCAAGAATTGACAGCTTGCACCGTTTTCATCATGTTGGCTTGGAGACTGGGAGACACAGTTGTGCAATGTCTGTTAGTGTTTGCCGGCTCCAAACACGGCAATGCTGAAAATGGAGGACAAAAAATGGGCAGAATGTGTGGCTTAATACCACAGAACACAGCATTGGTTCATATCAGGAATCATTAAGCTTGATGAAAGACAGCTGAATTACAAAAAAATACAGACCTGTAAATTACCTAGTTTTACTCTCTCATTTTAGAGGTGTGACAGTTAAAGAACTTGTGATTTTGTAGATTTTACTATTATGACCGGTGTCTTGTGTTCACAAGCATATTAGCAAATGTTTTTAAAGTAATAAAATTACCATCATCATTTGAAGGAAACCCTAATAGAAGATTGGACTTTTTAAAGGGAGGAATTACATCTGCTTTATTGTACTGAAAGCCTTACTGTAACATGTTCCTTTATGTCCAGGGAGACTAATAGGAAAACAGAAAAATAAAATGAGCATGTTTGGAATGAATAAAGCATCAGTTGGACCATAATAAAACACAATTTAGAAAAAATTAACATTTTTTTTTTCAAATAATTGCTAATATTTCTCTTAGATGTAATCCAGGTACATGACACAAACTTGACAATTCCAAGATGGTAACATGAGTGGGAAGCATAGCTCCACCCTTTCCCTAATCATCCAGGTTCCCTTCTTGGGGGAGCCATTTTTATCAGTGTCTTTCCATCCCTTTGGGGATACATTACACATCTAAAGATAGAATTTTATCTCTTCATTGATTGTAGAGATTTGATAAGACATATTTTAAATAAGAAAAGATACATACATACCTGGAAAAATGAGCTTCCCTCCCATAAATTAAAAAGATCTTCAAAATGTATCCCATAATTTTCAAAAAGCCCTGAGTCTGGCCCTTCCATGGTATATATCAACCTAACTTTGATTTTGCTCTCTCGATACACAAGCTTTCTACCAATTTTTTTTTTTTTAATTTTAAAGACAGAAGAACGGAAACCTATTAACAAACACACGTACATTTACAAAACAACACAAAAACAATACAAGCAATACCGAATTTCAGACAAGGTGACAGGAAATTAACAGTGGTGGCTGTATTACATACTGATATCTTCAAGCTGGTTGCTCAGATAAACAAATATAAGCATGTGAGATGGATCAAGCAATTACACATTAACTGCTCCTTTCCACAGAGCAACCGAAGGCCAGGCCGGCTCAGAGCTGTCGTCCTTGCGCTGCCTATTCTCTGCACCTTAAGCATTTCCTTGGAAGCCGTTTACATAGCCGACCCCTTGCTCTCAGAGTTCTGCGCAGTAAACGGTTCATCCCCCCGCCCCCCGCTTCCATGTCCGTGAGAACACGCTGTGTAGATGGAGACCTCTGCAGTTCTCGTCTTCATTTACCTGTGTGCAGCCCTTGTTCCGCGGGAGCACAATCTCTGCTGAAGCGAAGGTGCGTCTGCCGCGCTCACGGTTTATGTTGTTCATTTCCTATACCGAGAGTCTCTCCTGACACACAGTTGGGATCCCTAAGTATTTAGTAAAAGACAAAAACAAAGCAGAGAACAATAAACAACTCTTCTGTGAAGTCTGTTGATTAACTAATCAGAGCCCCATTCCCTATCACTGAGGTATTTTGCCAATCTTCTACTCACAGAGATGCATAAAATTAAAAAATTATTAAAATTGTGAAGAAAGATATAGTGGCTCTTTTCTTTTTCTCCTGACAAATAACACAGGAGACAAATAACACATTTCAGCTATGGAAACCTTTCACTTCTTTGTTATTTCCCATAGCAAATCATAAATTTCACAAATTTTGAAAATGGCAATATATTTTTCGATGATTTCCTGTATTTATATTTATTTTTTGCAAACTACTTTGACACTCAATAGATCAGTCATTACCTAGGAAATGTGACCAGTATTAGTAGCAAAGCATTTACCAACAATCTTTTGAAACTGAAAACAGATAATATTTCAATGATTCAACGATCAAAAAAAGATTAACGATAGTGTTAAAGACAAAATGAAATGAACATCAGCAAGGCGTTGATTCAATTATCTTAGAAGTTGATCTGTTCATGTTAATTCTTCCTACATCAGCATTTTTCACAATGTGATAAAGGGAGAAGCTAAATACTCATGATCAAAATGTGTAATATGGAACCATATTTGGCTGTAAAGGAATTAATATCATCAGATAGTATTAAAAGAAAAGTATTTAGAGTAACCAATGTTTTTCTTAAGTAAAGTTTTTTTGTAACTTTTGAATGTAAGTAGACTATTCATTACTATAAATATTTTCTAGCTTCTTTCTTTGAAAGATTTTTTGGTTAATTTTTTCTAAAATTTTAATTTTTTATATTTCTCAAATAATTTGTCATTACTTTTTTATTTAATACTTCAACAAACCGTAGTCATTCATATAAACTCTTGAACAAAACTAAAGATTATTGTGAAACAGCTAGCAATAAAATTCTTTATTTTCTATTTCTAAACTCCAACAGTGAGTTTCTAAATCTTAATTTTCTCCCCAATTGAACCATATATTTTCTAATACACAGTAAATAACTTGTAAAATGTATTTACTTCAATTATTTTGTTATTAAATACATTAATACAGGTTTTAGAAGATACTTTTATATCTTAGAAAGGTTTTTAGAAAAAATTTAAAAGTAGATGTAGGATAAAAGAGAAAAAATCATTAAAAATGTGATGAACTGATAATATATTTTTCTCTCTCATTCTGTCTCTCTTTTTCTCTCCCCTTTCTGTTTGTGTGAGTGAATATATATAACCATATATGTATATGATTTATTTCTAATTATTTTTACATATATGTACATGAATTTATATACATTTTTACAAAGTAATTTTATATGTGGTTTGTAACCATTTTATAAACTAGTCTACTGTGAATATATTCAAGTGCATAAATGAACATATTTATTAAAAATATAGGAAATTGTCATATATCTTAGCACTTATTCAACCCATCTTTGCTGCATATTATGATTTTTATTATGACAGAGTCATGTTATTATTTTTATTATGACAGAGTCTATTGTACAAATTCCTGGCCTGTATTATGGTTGAGAACTTTAATGTTTGGTCAACTATTTTTATGTATTCTTCCAACCTTTCTCCCCTCTCTGGTGAATCATTTGTTAAAAAAGTTTGACGAATGATACAATGTTAGTTTTTCTAGGAGGATTACATGAAGATATTTCTGATAATACTCACTAAGCATCCCCCACTACTTTTAAGTGCCCAATATCATATATTGGCAAAATAATTTCATCAGTATATAAAAGGTGTTAGACTTCTATATTTCTATGTGCCAGGAAAGATGAGAAAACAAATTATTTAAATATAAACTTTGGGATTTCACTATTTTAATTCACAATTATTTACAACTAAATTTACAAAAAGTGAATTTCTTCTCTAACTTGCAATAGCCATCTGACACAGGAATTGAACAAAAATTAAAATTCTTGCTGGGCATGATGGCGCACACCTGAAATACCAAGATACAAGAGGCTGCGGCAGGAGGATTGCTGCAAATTGGAGGCCAGCTGGAAGTGCATAATGAGACCCTCTCTCAAAAAGACAAGCAAAATTTAAAATTCTTAAATTGATTCTCCAAGTGCTTCCCCCTTTATCCCATAACTAGAATTCTGTTTTCCTTCTTGCAAATTTTCCTTATACGTGTTTATTTAGGACAATCTTAACTTCGTGTCTACATTTGACATTCAGTAGATAATTGTTAATTCCATTCTCTATTATTTCACACTTGGAGAAGATCATTTTCATACATTTCCTATTATTTTTCACAGTAGTAATAAAATAAAACCTATCAGAAAAAATGAACAAGAGAACAACAACAGATTGATATTTCTAAACAAGGCTAAGAGAATCATTTGCTCATAAAATGTGTAAAATGGCATAATCCATGTTTAAGGTCTTTAATTCATAATGACTACTTATTTGAATGCTTAAGTTGGAAAATAAAAACACACAGTATCACAAGAAATGGAGGTACATAGCACAGAAGAGAGTTTGAGTGACTCTAAATATTAATAAATTGAATCTTGAAAAACTAGTATAAAATTCAGGGATGACCTATACAATTGATTTTCTTTGAATTGACTTCCTAATATTATTCATTATTGATTAAAGAATGTTTTCATACTTTTCTAATTAAAATTAGGCATCTATGCTATATTATTCAAATTTTATAAGAGGCATATCAATTTTTTCAAAAGTTACACTTATCAAAGATGATTTTCAAGAAGCAGAATATTATTTTCCTTCTGGCACGTCCCTGGATCCTGAAAGAAATGGAGACTGCTGGGCGATAGCCTGCCTGTCCTGAACTGCTTATTATTACACTTTCTGACTTCTAATTTTGAGAAATAACCAGCAGCCTGAAGAGATGACTGCTCAATTGGAGTAAATCTTTGTCAGCTGTTCATTTGACAGAGGATTACTATCCAGAATATATAAGGAACTCAAAATCTTTGCAACAAAAAATAATGTGATCAATAAACAAGCAAATGATCTGGGCAAATGATCTGATCATCAATGATAGAGAGGTTAAATGTGTCCAACATCTTTAGCAATCTGTGAAGTGCTAATCAAAACATCATTGAGATTCCATCTCACTCCAGTGAGAAGGACTATTATCAGCAAAGCAAAAATAACAAATGATGGTAAGGTTATGGGGGGGGGGGAGGAAACCTTGTAAAACACTAGTGGTAAGGTATGTTAGTAGAGCCACTATGGAAGACCTGAAGGTAAAAAAACTGAAAATAGAATCATGAAATGATTAAGCAACATCAGTCCTCACATATAACTGAAGGAACAAAGTTAGCATGTCAAAGAGATGTCTCTATAACTTTATTGAGGCACTATTCACAACAGCCAAGTTATAGAATCAGCCTAAGTGCCCATCAGATGATCAAAGAAAATTTCATATACATATAATAAAAAATCTTTTTTGTTTCTCCTTTCTCTTTCTTTTTCTTTCTTTCTCCTTTCTTTCTTTCTTTCTCTTTCTTTCTTTCTTTCTTTCTTTCTTTCTTTCTTTCTTTCTTTCTTTCTTTCTTTCTTCCTTCCTTCCTTCCTTCCTTCCTTCCTTCCTTCCTTTCTTTCTTTCTTTCTTTCTTTCTTTCTTTCTTTCTTTCTTTCTTTCTTCCTTTCTCCTTCCTTCTTTCCTTCTTCTGTCTCTATCTCTGGTTCTGTCTCCCTTTCTCTCTCTGTCCATCTGTCTCTGTCCCTCTGTATCTTTTTCTGTCTTTCTCTCTCTCTTTATCTTTGTGTCTCTATCTCTCTCCCCCTCCATTTCTTTATGAAAAAGATAGAGCTCTGGCTTACTTCTTGGGTAGACAAATGCCAATCAAATACTTCCATCAACACTTTGCTGAAATCATTATTCTCTTGGGAATGAAAAAAGCCTATTGTATGATCATTGGTCATTTGATAATTGACAATTTATCTAGGTAAGCAGATCATTTTTTATGTGTTAGTATTTTCTGTTAGTAATTAGCATTAAATAATTCTACCATAACTCCTTAAGTGGAGACAGACTACCCAAATTAGTCACATACCTGCATGCAAGATTAACACTCAAAAATTAATAGCACTCCTGTACACAAATAAAAAACTCACTGAGATAGAAATTAGGGAAACTACACCCTTCACAATAGCATCCCTCTGAAAAACACTTAGGAGTTAATCTAACAAAAGAAGCAAAAGATCTTTGCATTGAAAACTAAAATACTCTGAAAAAGTAGATTAAGGAGGATAAACAACTGACATATTGAAAGTGGGCATACTCCCAAAATTGTTGTACAGATTTAATGCAATCCCAATCAAAATACTATTGCATACTTCACAGAACTAGAGAAAACATTCCTAAAATGCATTTGGAGCCAGAACAGACCTAGAATAGCAAAAACATTTCCGGGTAACAAAGGCAAGGCAAGGTGTTTCACAATCCCTGACTTGAAATTATAATGCAGAACTACTGTGATAAAAAAAAAAAAATTAAAAAAAAAAGCACCGTACTGCAGAAAAACTGACCCAAGGATTAATGGAACAGAATAGAAGATGCAGAAACAACTCCAAACACACAGAGACACTTTATCTTTGACAAAGCGACCAAACACATTCACGAGAAGAATGACATCCTTTTTAATAAATGGTGCTGGAAAAACTGGCTTTGCACATGCCAAAGACTAAAACTAGACCCATGTCTTTCACCATGCACTAAACTGAAATAAAAATGGATCACAGATCTAAATATTAAAACAGAAGCACTAAGTCTGTTGTGGGAGAGGCTAGAAAGAACTCTTGAAGACATAGGTGTAGGTAAAGACTTTGTGAACAAAATGCCAGTCACACAGGAAATATTACAAAGTATGAACAACTAGGGTCTCATCCTATTAAAAAGCTTTTATATAGCAAAAGAAATCATCAAGCATGAAGAGACAACCCAGAGTGAAAAATAATTTTTGCCAGCTGT